CTCCGCCTGTTACAAAGTGCATACGTTTCCATAATCATTTTAAATAGGAAAAATCACTTTGCTGCGTCCACGGTAGAACACCTCCTTTAATCTGCAGCAATTTCCTGTATATCGATCATTTCCGCACATATAAATGATCCCATTGTCAGGAGCTTGTATTAAAATAACCTGCAATTATTTTAAATAAATCCTCGAGAACACGCGATGATATAAAAGAAATTATGTTTCTATCTGTTTAATATTTTTAAAAAAACACCCTGAAACCTGACATGGGGGATTAATATTGCAATAACAGGCACAATTCGCTCAAGTCATTTAATGGAGTAGTTACTGCGTGTGATTATTACGGCATTTGCGAAAACAGAGCAGCAAACAACTTGAAATGAAATGCAATAGTAACAACAGTAAAACAATAAGGCCTTAATGCTTCTGTATTGTGTCCACAGCGGCTAGAAGTGAATGAACGCTTACTTAAACAATTTATCGAGCTGCGACTTTAACAGAAATTAAAGCGGTATTATGCTGCATTGAATTATATTTCGGCGGCTTTTCCAACAAGAGACCAGAGATCTTACTTAGCTATTCCTGAAGACACGGAAAGCATTTTATCCAGGGTTAGCTAAAGAAAGATTAAAAGCACAGGTTTGGAAGTCTGAGCCCTTATTACCTTAATAACTAAATAAATAAACATTAACCGTAATCAAAGATATTTAAAACGGTGACGGTACACGCTAAGGCCATGGAGGCTTGGATTAAATCCCATCATCAGTGTCACTCATACTATATTTCAGCAGGCTTGCAGTCATTTTAATAGGAAGATAGCATTAATGGCTTGAGCGTTTTCTTGCCATACACTCCTGGGCCTGCGCCTTCATTTTGGAGCATGCAGAGGCCTGAGGGGGTAACAGTAGCTACAATTGTCCAGATCTGTCTCTGCAGGTTGTGCTGCGCTGATAAAGATCCAACTCTATAATCCTGATTCATAGTGAATCTTTACCTATCAGATGCTTCCTGGGCTCTCCAGCAGCCCGTGATTGACAGTGATTATCTCAAACGCAGGCCGTATCTCTGCCATCACCGTGGCCGTGTCAGGGGGGTTTTAGGTGAGGATGTTGGATCAAATACAGCAGCAAACAGCTGACAAGGAAGGTGCACAGTAGCAGAGGCGCGTGTAGGAAACACCATTGAATTAAGATTTGCAGATAAGGAATCTTTTTTTTCCCTCCCTCTCCATGTGTCAGAGACAAAATCATTGAGATTTCTCCTCAGCAGCAGCAACAGCAGCACCGGCCTAACCTGCAGAGCACGCTCATGACACGAGTTAGCCGGTGTGAGCTTTGTGTTGAAGAGGCAGCTGAAACACAAACAGCGGGACAACACGGGAAGCATATGGTGCTAGCGATGCAGCAGTTGTTGCTGTCAAAAACATAAATGCTGCTGAACACTGTTACTGCAGGTGCAAATTAGCAACACTGCTAATGTGTTCACCGTATTCGATGTCAGTCTTGTATTTCCTGGTCTAATTGTATGAGGGTTTGCATAATGGCCTTTGTTACAGCACGGCATTAAAAGAAAGATTAATACTGCGCCGCCATATCGACCAGCTATAATTGCAAACACCGATGGCTCACTCGTTTAACATGTTGGCATTCAGCAGGCGGTCATCTGCAGCAGTCTTTGCAATGTGTTCATTTGGAGCATTTATCAGAAGACGTGGCAACACGAGTTGATGCAAATGGTTCGATGAAAAAGAGTTTTCTGAGGTTCGCTTGGCCCTCGAAAGAGGAGAGCTCTGACATATGAGCTGCGAGGAGGCCCGCTGACCATTTGACAGAACAAAGCTCGCGTTTGTGAGACAGAAATGGAAGGAAGGGTTGGAAGGAAGTACCTACTTCTTCGTCTTCCTGTTCACAATAGCACGGCAGGTCCACGTGTGTTAAAAAGCTACTTAAATTCTCAGTGTCGTTCACGGTGTGGCTCTAAGCACTAAGGTTTTCTTCCCAAATTTAGAAAACCTGAAAGACGAGTCCAAACTGCTTTTACTGTGTGGGTCTGTGAATACAGTATGTGATATTTTTAAAATTCATGATGTGTGTACAATTGTGTGTGTGTATTGGATTTGTGCTTCTCTGTAGTCCTACCACGTAGTGCTGCAAGCTCACGAGCTCGGGAGTATTACCGTGAGTTGCGTGTGAGGCAGGTTACTCAGCCTGTCTGCAACCAGTGAACCTGCTCTGAAACCGTATACCTGCGCTGAAAACAGGAGTCGCCATTTCAGCGCTGTCTGTTTGGATCAGTGTTCCCTGTGGCACTATGCCCTCTTTGAGAGCTCCTCTGTTGGGGATCTATTCCTTAGCCCCTGACTCTATCCCTCTGTTGGCACAATGGCCCCTTTGTACCTACATATACTACTGCTGTGGGACCTTGCCTCGTAGTTTTTGGCAATTATACACAATCCCACTCCATCTATCCCCCTTGTTGCCGCTTCATTGACGAGAAATGCAATTGGATCGAGGAGAAATGCGGTGAAACGGAGACCCGGGAAGAGGCTTGCAGGAATTAGATTGTGGCGCTGATAAGTTCCATATAGAGCAAGTAAACATGTTCTTATCTTGTTATCCAGCTTACACATTAACACATGGCGCGTGTGGAGGAGGGTTTAAAAGGATAAATCAAATTCTAATCATTCTGTTTGGCTTTTTCCGCTCGCTGCTCTTTGTCTCTATTTCAGTTTCTCATCGTGCAAAGGACCCCAGCCCACATGCAAGAACAATGGAGGGGGGTCAGAAGTGCTAGCTATTTTCCTACACCTGCTGAATGCTACAGAAATGAGTGCACAGTGATTATGTGCCCTAATGTGTGGTGTTTAAAGAGTGGTTTCCCGCAGCAGAGTTAAATGGTGGTGCCCTCTGTGAAGTATTAATGATGTGGATGGATGAATCAGGTCGGCGCAAACCTGTTGACGGCAGCCGTGGCGCTCTCTTAAAGCTGCACCCAGACATCAGGCTTAACCGCTTGGCAAATTGGACATGCTTGTTGGCTGTAGCTCCAATTTATGTGCACTCTCTATTGCAGTTAGTCCATCTTCATTATTGAAATGGCCTCTCGTCAGGTCTTGACAGAGTGGTGGAGATGGTAAAGGGTGGAGTGCGCGTGTGGTGGTGGGGGCACATACAGAAGAATCATGAATAATGTGGAAAATAAACACATTTGAAGCACTGGCGCTGGCTGGCAGAAGGGGTGTTGGGAGTGTTGTTAAATGCCTGGCTTTCATTTTCTCTCTGCTCCTCTCTCCCTCTCTCCATGTGATTGTATGTGCAGCCTCTGCCAGTGGATGTTGATGCTGTGGATCCTCAGCCTTGGGGCTTTATCTAACACACATGCAACCGGGCATAAACACAGACACACACACACAAGCAGCTCTCAGTGCTGAACTCTAGCAGCACCTCTGTGGCTTGACCAGCATCCCAGCTGGGTGTTGTGTCACAGCCATGCTGGAGACACATTGCTCGGTGGCCACAGCCTATATTTAATAGGTTGCTGTTGTGGCTTCGCTATTCACCTCGGGATCGTTGCATTGGTGATGGCCGATAAAGCTGAGCCCAGTTTGGTGGCGATATCCGCTTCCAACTCGCGCATTGTTGCAGGCGACACGTTTATTGCCGGATGTCAAATTTCAGCTCCTCGGTGAGGCGAATTGATAGGAGATGGCCTCAAAACCATTTCGTAGCTCTGTAAATGTACACTTAAGCCCAGGCTTTGGGTATAACAGTGCTTCTCTTTGAAGAGAAGAACAGGATCTAACTGAGTCTACCTACAGGGTCCCTGTACCTGCTGCACACATGAGTAGATGTGATGGCTCATGAGGTAATTACCCACTGAGCTGGTCTGTAAGCTGAAGCAGGGGTTCCCTTCAGGTAGCGCTCTCGCTCAGGTCAGTGAACAGCTAATGACATTTAGAAGAAATAGGATGAAAGAGGTGGCAGTTGGTTGTAGTCAGCCACACACTACCTTTGTCTTATTGTCTGCCGTCTGTCTTAATCTCGCAGCCACCCTTTTCACACCACAAGGAGATCGTGTTATTAGATCCCCTCCCTGGGCTCATTTGTCATCCTGCAGCACCACTCCTCTAGAGGAGGACTGCAGGAGAGGAAAAAAGAAAACAATATAAGCAGGCAGGAGGCCACAACATCAAATGTTCATCATTTACCAGCCCAGAGTCTCTCTTATCGCCATTATTCTTTCACAATCACAGCAGATTAATATGCTTTCTTTTTGTTGCCCCTCTTACTGTGTCTATTTTTAAAAGGCCGACAAACTTCAACCTCTCTTCTCTCCTCTCCCCTTTAACATGTTATTTTGTATTACGCCGTACCCGGCCCTCGCACGCGTGTACTCTCAATCATCCCCCACCCCCACTTTTCACCATCACTTGCTACAATAAAAAGTATTGTCAGTGTTCACAGTTTGCTGTCACCGCCTCAGTCACATCTCTTTAATCTCTCCTCTTTGAGCTCCTTCAGATTTCGTGCTGCTGAGGCGCACGAGAGGGAGAGAGTCAGCTAATTACAATAAACAAATATGCTCAGAGCCGCCTATGTAAGGTTGGCATAGGTTAACAACTCTGCTATAAATGTTAAATGAAGCTTAAAATAGGATCGTATGGCATACAGTTGCCATAGCGATCCAAGCTGCGATTCTTTGTGTACTTTCGTGGTTGGCAAAGTTTAAATTAATCTTAGACACGAATCTGTGATACGGAGAAGAAATGAGTGATTGTTTGATGCCCCAAGGGCCTGTTTGATGCCTCTATCGCGTTTGGAGCTTTTTCTTGAACCGCCACAACTTTGTTTGTCTGTGCTTAGCGTCGGTCTTTTGTTGTAATGAAATCTAATGCACTGCCGTTGATGCCTTTCTGCCTCAGACGCATGGCGGTCGCCCTTTTTTACCGATTGCCTTCTTACTCACGTCTCTTTCTATTTCTCTTTGTCTTTCAACAGGTGGGACAGTCAAAATGATGCGTGGGTGGTGCAGCGTTGAGCCGTATTGATGGATGTGTTAACAGACAGCAGTCTCACATTGATTGTGAAGACTTCAGAACCCGAGAATCCAAATGCAGTGGAGAGCACAGGTAACTATTCAGGTATAGCTCGTTAACACCATGTTTTTTGTGTTTTTTTTAAGTAACTCACATGAATGCTAATTTTGCTCTTTATTTCTCAGCTTTAAACATTTAGAGAAACTTGGTTGCAGAAGAGAGTTTTTTTTTTAATTTGCCCAAGAATATTTAAGCACTCATTAAAATAAACGAAAGCTTATTAACAACAGTTTCTCTCACAACGCATTTAAAACTTTGAAAAGACAATTAGTATTAGCACATAGCACAGAATTAGCTTTCCTTGAATTAGCTTTTCACCCTCAGTTTTAAGCTCTTTTACAAGATATGGGGAGCGTGAAACACATCCTGTGTGTTTTTTTTTTTAATGAAAAGTGGAAAAGAATTATTAATTGAAGCTTTTTAAGCTGTTGTTAATCCTCTCTGCTTATGCTTCCACAACGCAGAAATATAAATCTATCTTTTCTCATAAAAAGCTGCAAATATAAAAGTGGGTGGAGCCATTAATTCTCTCACACACATTTATTAGCATCGTGAAAACAAAAGGTCTGCATCATTGTTTTAATAATAACTGTATTGTTATTTTATTTTCTTGTTATATTTCAGTTTTGGGCTTCTGTTTTTTTTTCTCTGCAAAATCTCAGAAACTGAAACCTTGATTAGTAATTATATATTTGCAGGAAAAAAGGTTGCAAATGCTTTGAAACTGCTAAGATTTCTACACTGCGCATTGTCGTCTGAACTTCATTTACTCTACATAGTTTCACTTAACTCTTTACCCCTTGAAAGCCTACGAGGAGTAACCCTTGAAGTTCCTGTCTGACCTGAGTGGTTTCTGTCATATTTCAGGCCTGTCTATATAACGCAATGACTTGTTGGTTCCTAAGAAGTTAGTGAAGGTGGTCCCTGCCTATGCAGCTACCCTTGAAAAAACGGTCTTCAAACCACATCTTTATTGATATAAACTGAAGTGTCAAAAGTCATCATTAGACGTTGTCTAATGGGGAAAGGATTAATCAGTAACACACAAAAACATGCATTTTTGGAAGTAAGGGAATTTCAATAATACAAACTCGCCCTTATGGGGGGATAGTCAGATGAGAGTCAGATGTTGTGATTAAGGAACACCTGACTCCAAAGACCGTCTGCAATTTGACGTTGGAGTGCGAGATGGAATCGAGCCTGTCTCCAAATAAAGACAAACATCTGGTTAGTGCCAAATTCTGCCCTCATGAAGAAAGAACCAACTTTCACAGGACTTTAAGAGGACTTTAGGAGGAATGTTATGAAGATGGGCATAACTGTGTCCAAGTCAAGGAATTTTAGGACTTTTGTAGCTTTCCTTGCAAAGATCATACCAAGGGCACCAGAAGAGAGACAGCAAAACACCTTCGGAAAGTTATACAATTTGCTAAATTCACTTGTTCCCTGTCCACTATGAAAAACGCACACAATTATTTATGAATTAGTCCAGTTGGATTTTGTTTTTTTTACTTTTTGCAACCACATATCAATTTAGAAATCCTGGTATCTCCAAAGGGTTTACAAATGTTTTCTTCTAAAAGGTATATGAGTTACTTTTTGCTGCTGCCTTATTCACAAGGGGTCTCCACAGTTGCTAGCTCCACATGTTTGATTTGGCAGAATTTTTATTTTTGTTTTGCACCAGATGCCTTTTCTGATGGAACCCAAAGGGATCTGCATCTCTTTCCTGGATCAAACTGGAGAGCTTTCAGTGCTAGGCAAATGTGTAAGCCATTACAATATGGGGTCACTTTTCTTTTAGCTGAATAAATGGTTTTTAAAACCAAATCTAACTCAAAAGAAATCAGATAGCAGTGCAATCTCTTCCTTTTTACTGGACAATAAGCCCTACTGCTGCTGTGCATATTCAGTCATTCACCCACCACCTACTTCTCCCCATAGTTTCTACCAAGCACCACTGATCCTTCGGTTTATCTCGGTGTTTCAGCTCTGGTCAGCCTCAGTTGGAACTGAGACAGATTATCCCCAGCACTTGCCTGCTCCTTGAGAGGCAGCAAGAGGAAAAGAGAGCAAGAGAGACGAGGAGAGGTGGAATGAGAGCATTAAAAAAAATACAGGAGAGAGTAAAAGCAGCTCCATTGAGCAGGAATAGGGTAGTTCTTTGAGGAGGATGGCCATGAATCATGCCGCAGTTACTCACCACTTATTACGAACATCCTGTACTGGCCGGATTGATCC